AATGGCAAGGTTGCAAATGTCTTGCTGGATGAATCCAGTGAAACAGTCTGGTGCTCAGTGTCAGCGTCACTCACCCCCTTGATGCAAGGTAGCCTAACAAGCCAGAATGGCTTTGGCTGTATCACAGCACCGCGGCTGGGTCAGAACTTTGTGTGCCGATGAAGCAACTGAGCAAATTTCCATATGCCTTAGACATGGGAAAAACCTGCTGTACAACTGCTCTGTTAACACATTTTTGTGGTGTTCTCTGTACACAGCAGCAGATCTGGCTTTTATTTTCTGGTTTTATCTCCCATTTTCCCATGGCTTTTCCCAACAGCCCCTCTCCGCTGCTTGCTGTAGTCTCCACCACTGTAGACCCACCCCTCCGAAGACTAATCGAGGGGGCAGTGCATGAAATGCTGTGGCCATATTTCTTCCAACAACCCTTATGCTTAAGCAAGGGGGGTGATTATACCCAGTCCGACACAAGGGACGCTCAGAAGGGGAGCATTGTGTGGGCCCAGTCCCCTCTGTAAGGCAGGTGTGTTAAGGAGATACAGACCAGCAATGCTGGGGAGAGCACAAATCTCTGTATCTCTTGGTTTGCCGGAGGAGCCCAAAAGCAATGGGTTAGAGCTGTGCTGGAGGTGTGGCGTGGTGGGGATGGCTGACAACCGAGATGGCTGGCTCGCAGAGCTGGCCCTGGGGCTAGCCCATGCATCCCCTGGAGTGCTGGTGGAGAGCTACCCATGCGAGTATATGTAAGCGCTGCATATTTTGTTACAAAGGCTGTGGCTGAGCAGCAGGGAGGGAGGCAAGCTGCCTCTGAGCCCTACCTGTGCCCCCAGAGACACGTGGAGCTCATCAGGCAGAAGATGGCCAAGTGTGGCTGCAGGGCACAGGCTGGGGCAGGCAGAAAAGGGAGGCTCAGCAAGGACAGAGACTGGAAGGAGAAAATATGCAGGCAGAGATGATGGAAAGGAAGATTTTTCTTCTGGACATCCCCAGGGAGCTGTGAGTTTGGTGTGAGGCAGGAGGCCATGAAAAGCGGAGACCTTATCGCTCTCTACAACTACCTGAAAGGAGGTTGTAGTGAGGTGGGTGTTGGTCTCTTCTCCCACATAGTTAGCCATAGGATGAGAGGAAATGGGCTCAAGCTGTGCCAGGGGAGGTTTAGGTTGGATATTAGGAAAAATTTCTTCATGGAAAGGGTAGTCAAGCATTGGAACAAGCTGCCCAGAGAGGTGGTGGAGTCACCATCCCTGGAAGTGTTCAAAAAACGTGTAGACGTGGCACTTTGGGACATGGTTTAGCCTAGTCTACCCTTGATTGGTTTAGTGTGGACTTGGTAATGTTAGGTTAATGGTTGGACTGGATGATCTTAAAGGTCTTTTCCAACCTAAACGATTCTATGATTCTAAGAGTCATACTGCCAGGATGCCTGGGGGATGAGGGAGGGTTTATGCCTCATGCCTCACCCAGCTCATCTATGCTTTCTCTTGCTGCAGAAACTACCTTGTTCAAGTTTGTGGTTTTAACAGGTTTTAACAAAACCAGTACTTCAAGTATTGTGTGAGCACCTTCGGGCTCACCTTCAGGGCAAGAGCACCAGGCAGTCCCAGCTCTGAGGGGTACCTGGGCCAGCGTTGCTCGCTTTTAAGCACAGTCACTGCACACAGAACTGCTCCTGCCTGACATTCAGACCCCTACCCTGCAGCTTGGGCAGGGGAACGAGACCTGAATCCTTGGCGTGGGGGGATTCAAATGTGCCTTTCCTGTCAGCATCCTAACAAACAGGTGAGTAGTCAAATCCTCTTGCAACTTCTCCCCAGCCAAGTGAGCATATAGAGAGGAACAGACAGATGTTTCACCCAAGGCAAGATGGAGATGGGGCTGTCGCACCCCCTCCTCCCCATGTAGGACAGCGAAGGGCCCCCTCCAAACACAGGAGTGATTTACACTGGTACTCCTGTTTCTGGAGCAAGTGCGCCAAACCATAGAGCTATACAAGACCTTCTGCAGCCAAGCTTTAAAAAAAAATGGCAACAGCAAGTCTGTTGGCAAAGAACCTAACACCAGTGCTGTAAATTAGGCTTGCTTTTTAAATACCTGTGAGACGGCAATCTACAAGAGGTAATGGTTACAACTCAGGAGAAACAGATGGTGTCCTGGCAGAAACACAACCCATTAAAAAGAGAAAAAAAAAACCCCACACTGCTATTTAAAACATGAAAATGGGTTATTCAACACCACCCAGGCACACACAAATTGAGGAAATCCTAAAGTAGTTCTAAGTCTAGACCTGGTCCAACCCACTGGCACCCCTGGAGTTCGCCTGGGTTTCTAAGCAGTGGAATAGTAATCAGCAATCCTCATTCTGTATTTTAAAGTAATACAAACTATTTTATTTGTCCCATAAAACTTGGCACTAGTGATAGGACAGAGCTGTGGCATGTTCTGAGCTTGCTCTGAAAGATGCTGCTAGAAATTTCTGCTTTGCCTCCAGCTTTTAGTTACCAAAGGTCATGCTGTCTGTAATTTCTCATTGTTTAACAAGCTGCTGGCTTACAAGTGCAGCCAGCGTAACCAAACCAGGCAGTCATTCACTCACTCGCTGGAACTCATCTATCCTGTGCATGAAACATGTACAACGGACTTTGCCTTTCCTACATAAAAAAATACGAGGATTTGCAAACCCACAGGCTCCCACAGCTGCCTGCAGTGCTCAAAACTTGCCCCCTCCCCTGGGATGCGGGACTGAAGCAGCTTGATGTAATTGTTCCATAGGGCCGCTGGGTCATGGGAACTGATGCCACAGGAGACGTGCCGGCCTCCCGGGCCTCGGCTGCGGTCCTGCAGCCTCCAGCAGCTGGGCAGCCTCCAGGGGATGGGCTGGGGCTGGCTCCTCAGCGAGGGGTGTCCGGGGGCTGTCTGCAGTCAGGGGCATCCCTGTGGAGGGGGGATGCTCTCGCTCCACAGCTTGCATCGATGAATATCCTACATGTACCATAACTTAGCACAAGAGAAGAGCATGGTGACGGGGGACAGAAACACAACCACAGCTCCTTCTAATCCCATAGGCACCTGTCGCCATCTTTAGACTCCCAAATACTTGTACAGTCTGGCTGGCACCTCCAATTCCACACCCGCTCCCTACTGGGCTTAGCCTCCTTCACCTGCGTGCTTCCAGTGGTGTTCCTGCTGGAGGAGGCACCTGGAAGAACAAATCGTGCCTGTTGGCAGCTGCTGGCCCATGGTGGGGTCACATCGAGCAAGAGGCAGGGCTGCTGCTGCACAAAGCACTGCTCCGTCCCCTTGCTGCAGGCAGCTCCCAAGGAGGATGTGCTTGCCTGTCAGCTATTTTTATTAGCATTTGTGCTAAAGCAGTGGTCATGAACTCCTGGCACATATGCCAGGATTAGCAGCCTCACTGCTAGCAAGGCAAGAGTACAAGAGGACCCTGGTCCCACCCTGTCTTGCCAGTTGTTGGCCCCCGCCAGGTCCCAGGGTCAGCAAGCATAGGAGAGAGATGGGCTTTGCCTCTCCTCAATGGGGGAGAGGGGCTGGGAGAAGTTGGGTTTGAAAAGGATGGGCAGGAATAGCTGACTGGGAGCTGGAGGTGATGTGAAAGGCTTTGCTACTGCTGATCTGCAGGGTGAAACTGGGCTCCAGCCCAAGGCTGGAGATTTTGGCACCTTCACCTGCACATCACCTCCTCCTCACTGAAGGTCACCACTTCTCTCAGGGTTTCGCACATTCACCCGCTAATCTGCCGAAACAGCATAAAGCCCACGCAGCCCACCAGAGACAGGCAAGAGGGCTGCAGCAGCAGCCTACGTGAGGAGCTGACAACCTGCAGCAAGGGTCAGTGTTTCTTTCCTGCTACTCTCCTTCTCCAGCTCTGAAGTATAAAAATGAATGCGGCTTTCTTATAAGTATGGATTTCCCCACCCACAACACTTTTTCTAAGCATGGGGATGGTGTTCAGGGATGGTGCTCTGCTCTGTGTTCGCAGGTCTCTCAGACCCAGGCAGGTGTCCCGGGCCAGCTGAATACGGCCACGGTTGCCCCACTCTGCACCCAGCTCTCCACGGGCGCCAGAGCCAGCCTGGACCCGTGCCGGTGCCTCGGCACTGGGAAGCTTGCCTGTCCTCGGCCCTCTGCACTGGAGCTGGTTTCCCTGCCCCCTTTAGTCTGCTCAGCTGGCTTGTTCAGTTACGGGGCTGGGAGGAAATTTCCCTCAAATCACTCTGGCGGGGACCCTGTGAGATTTTAATTTTCTAGCCTGGGGAAGGGTGCCTAATTGGTAGGGTGGATTGAATGTTTTTTTGCTTCCTTCACTCCTCACCCCTGCAATACCCGAGCAGCAGCTTCCCATGCCGTAGCCACTTGCATTCTGTTTTTTGAAATGTTAAATGCTCTGTCTCATTAAAGTTTTGAGGATTTAGTCTTTTTTTTTTCAAGAAATCCCAAATTCACCTACAAATGGAGTTTCACCACAAAAATGGGGCAATTTTTGGTAAAAAAAAATAATATGGAGAGTTCACTTTAACTTTTCAAAACCTGCTTTTCTTTGCCAACAGAAAAATGTTTTGTTTCTGTCACACCATGGGTCTGACACCACCAGCCACTGCTTGTTTCACCTCTCCTTCAAATCCACTTCTGCTGAAGACTGGCGAAGTCTTTCTTGGTAATCTCACGTAGTGACTTCCTGTGTTTATAGTCTTCGTAAGTCTGAAAAACTCGTCCACCTGCAGAGTGCATCCCCTTGAGAGGGTCTTGTAACTAAACTCCTGGGTGTCCAACCTGTCCTGGCTCTGTTTCTGCTCTCACCGTGCCCTCCCTGTCCCACCCTTTATGCCTCTCTGAAGCGTTCTCTGAATGGCTTCTCCGAGCCTCATCCTCCTCTGTCCCCTGACACAGGAGACTGGGGGGTTTGCACTGCTGTTGGTGATGTTGAATGAAGCAGAGACGTAAATGAGCCTGAATGGCAGTGATGGAGGAAGTCTGCGTTTCACAGCGCTTGTGAGTCTGACAGGCACGGCAAAGATGAGGAACGCCATGACAGTGACAACAATGCCGAGGTCAAGCCTCATGGGGGGGCCCTGCTGCGGAGGCCTCTTTTGGATGGTAATGAACAAGATCAAATGGAGAGAACCATGAGAGGGGTAAAAATTAGGTAATTAATGATAGAAGTGAAGATAATTATTGCCTTGCTGCTCCCAGAGCCCTTGGCAAGCAGAGCTCGTGAGTCCTTCATTGGGTGAAATCCCCCATCGCACTGAGCAGGCAGGACAGGCTCCGAAGAAGAGCATACATGAGAGGGGCTCAGGCCGACTGCACCGGCGCCGTGTGGGGGACAGGACCCTCAGGCACCGCGCTGCACTGGCAGCTGTCAAAAGGAAGGAACCAGCATTGTACCCAGTAGAGAAAACGATGCCCAGCACCAAGTTGAGACAGCTGAGAAGCTCCCCTGAAACTGCAGGTGACTGCAGGTCCATTAGTGTTGGCATGGAGGTCACATAGGCAATGGCAAGATTTAGGACATACACAGTAAATTTGCTCCTCCTTATCCAGAAGAAATAGAAGAAACAGAAACCAGAGGATGATACTATTCCCACTGAATCCCAAAGTGGCAGTGGGAAGCACTCACCCGACAAAGACTGCCTTCAGAAATAACATGCTGTCTTCTCAGACTCTTGGATTCGGTTTCGTTAGGCTTTGCAGGGTCTGTAATGAGAAGATAACACAGTGTTTGACTGTGTCATGGTGCCACCTGAACCGAGAGCTGTTTTCTCTCTCGGCAAGCAGGGGATGTTCTGCCACCAGTTTGCATTACTGAACCTGATGGAAAAATATCATCTTATTATCAAATAGTTTAAAAATTCATAGGTATTGTAATTCAGAGAGGTTGCAAACAACTTAATTTCTCATGAGTCCAATGTATTAGGAACAGAATAGTCTCTGAACGTTACTTTAATTAAACAAATTACTTCATCAAAGGAGAAAAGGATTTATCAAACATCTCAGAGTTAAAGCCGATACACATTTTGTACTGTATATTCTATCACAGCTGTTTTACTGAGTGATTCCCAGTTCCCTGTTACAGCAGGGTTACAAAGCTCAGGCAGGAAAAGGGGAAGGTAAAACTAGTTTCTTGCAGAGAGAAAGCTGCTTGCTGGAGAGGACTTCTGCAAAGGTTAGAAATAAAATTCTGCAAGTTATGCAAACATCCAAGCTGACAGTATTGAGCTGATGGCACAGCAGAGATTCTCTTTTAAATAGCACTGCATGCAAAGAAATAACTAGAAAAAAAGAAATACGATGTGGGCCTGCTGATCTTACTTTTGTGGATGAGTATGAGGAATCCAGAGCCCCAAAGCAATGAAGGATGCGTCTTCTCTTGTGAGGAAGACCCAGCAAATGTGACCATGTTAGCAAATTGTCTGTATTACAATGTGCTTCGTCAGCTACTAAGTACTTTTCATGGAAACCAATCTGATAAAATCATAACTATAATCAAAGAAAAAAATCACCACAGCTAGATAAAGTCTTGTTTATGTAACTGAAAAGTTTGTAATTTTTTAGAGCACACAAAGTCATTGATCAAAATTATTTGTGTTAAAATGGCAATTAATGCATTGTGTTAATACATAAATATACACAACTGTATATACATAACTCACGGTATCATCTCATCTTGCGCCTTTTGCTATCTAGTGTAGTTTGCTCATATTCATATAGGCTTGGAAAAAAAGTACCAAGTAAAAATACCAAGCACAAAGCACCAAGCATCTTTTACCCCATTTATGGTAATAACAGCTGATAATGGTCGGTGCTTTGTGGGACTAGGGTCTACATTTTCCAGAGTCATGAACTTCATTGTAATTTGTCTCCAAGGATCTAACCGGGTGTGCAACACTGATCCCTCCAGCTCTGGTGTGCTGATTTCAATTGTTCTCTATATCCAACAGAAAAGGGGAGAGCTTGTTTGTTTTATAGGCTTGCGCTCCCTGAGGCTGTGTCTCCTTGCCTTGAGACATGGCCTCAATGGGTCTGTTGTGAGGAAGAGCTGGGTACTCTCAGCTCTATCACAGCGACCTTGCCCTGTCTGTCCTGGGTTATCTCCTGTCAACAAAGGCAAAGCACCGCCTTATCAGTCTGCTTTTAGAACAGGGAATGCCCAGAGGCATTTTAAAAGTATATAAATAAGAATAACCCCCTACCACTGCTCTTTAAAAATGAGACTATGAAAATTGGGGGGAAAAAAAAATTAAGTTTGGCATGAAACCTTCATTCTGGTGCATTTTATCTCTGAGTTTTGAATGAAATGGCAAAAATCCTTTGGGCTGTTTAAATACTTCTTTGTATACTCCATTAATTAAAAAGACTCAGAAAAATTTGAGTATTAGATGCCATTGATTTAAAACAGTAAGTCAACCATTATTACAATTCAAATTACTTTTCTTCTTTTGTAAGCAAAGTAGGCCAGGAGACATTTGCTAAGATTCTTATTTTATGCTTACAGCGTCCACAAACCATGAGCCTTGTGGCAGCCTCACATGCTTTTTTGGCTCCCTTGAAGGAGGAACTGTGGCATACACTTGCTATTGCAATTTTTTAAGGCTGCTCTGGTCTCCAGGAAATCTCAGGAGATGGTCGCCCTCTTTCTCAGACAACTCTCTTGCTTGCAAGACTTGCAAAATGAAGCAAATGGGATGCTGAAGGCTCCACTGGTCATACAGGAATTGAAAGTCCCAGATATACCCATGAACTAGATTAAACCTAAATAAGCAACTTTATTAGTACCATTGCTGCAGACACAGAACTCGAATCCAGAATTCCCAAGAGCAGAACAGATGCAAAGGACAATATACTGCAGGTTGGTTTTTTTTTTTAACTAAACTGAAGTGAGATCATTAATGTGCTGAAGTAAGTGGGAATGCAAGATTAGAAGGAAGCTTTTACTTTCCAAAGCCCAATTTCTTGTTATTACATAAAAAACCCCAACAAACCATATTTAAGCTGATCATAGTCCTTCCTAAAAGTATTCAGGATTTTCTGCCCATTCTTCTCCCAGCTTGTCCAGAAACCATGGTTCTCTGACAACCAGATCAGTTTCCAGCCCACATGCTAGAGGTGATACGATCTTGTCAGCCAGGCCAAGGCACTCTGACACTTTTAGATAATGTCTGACATAAGTAACCATGTAATTTCCTAACTGGAGGAAAAAAATGTGCTTCATGGGCAGTTTTCCTCAGTTTTTCAGAACAAAAATGTAAGACAAGATTCAAGCATGTTTCAGGCTAGGTCCTGTTCCCAGTCAAGCCAAGGGGTGAGCTTTCAATGGGAGCTGCTGCTGTAATTAAAATGTTTAAGATACATGCTTAAAAATGATTACTTTAATCTTGAATAATGCCAGCATGCTAACGTTTGTGGAAAATGGGTAGTTGTGCATGTGAAAAATTGCACATGTTCAGTGGCAGCCAATGTGCTTGTGGTGAGGAGAACCCCGGCTGATCCAGCTCATGACTTCTTCACCAAGAGGGTTACTGATGTCTCATGGTCTGTAGATGAGCCGTATGGGAGGAAGAGTGAAAGGCAAAGCTAAGGCAAGCTCGGACAAGCTCCAGGGTTGACATCATAACTGGAGGGACAGCACAAAGCCTCCAAAAAGGTAACATTTCCTCAATGCTCAGTAAATCTAAAGGGTTGAGATGAAAGAAGGTTTTCTTTCCTGCCTAAATTAGGAAAGCGAAGAAACTTCTGAGATTTCTTGTTTCATGTGTATGTTTGTGTCCTGGAAGACCTGTACCAAATAAAGACTTCATGTAAACAATTGGACAAAAATAAATCATCTGTCTGAGGTAGAAGCAGCACATTGTAAGAGGGGGTGAAGGCAGCATCCTGGAGCCAGCGGGTGATTTTGGAATGAGCATGTATAGAGAGAAGAGCTCTTATTGCTGGTGGTGTGACAGGAGAAGGGCATGAAGCAGGTTATGATTAGACTGAGTGTGGAGACCTGCTGGGTAGAAATCTGATGATGGGATGTGGCGGGGAGATGCTGAAGATGCGCGCTCTCCATACTAGTTTTACTCGTGCTTTGAGGGCTCTGTCTGCACTGAAGTAAAGGAAAAAGTCACATAGCTTATTTCCTTAGAGGTTTTTCCCTTTCTATCATTCTTCTCTTTTCATTTCCCCATCTCTCAAGCCTTGTCTGGCACTTCATGTGGCCACAAGAAGGAAGTTAACATCTCAAGGGAGAGCTGCAGAGCACATAGGTGATGAGAGAAGGGGCAGAGCAAAAAAATAATCAAGAAACAGGCATAAAGGAAGAAGAGAGGAAATTAAAAAAAAAAAAGCTGTGGACATTGGCGTAATATGGAGGACAAAGGAGGCACAACAGTCATTTTAGCGTTGCATATTCTGCTCCTTTTGCTTGGTCCAATTCAATGCAGAGCTGAAAGTTTGAAGCCAATGCCATCGCAGAAATACTATTTTAAGGTCTGTTTGTTTTCAAATGAGCTGTCAAACAGACGATTTGGCAGCCCAGGCCTTTGCCTAGCCCCAGGAGGGCATCTCTGGCTTCTACACCCATCAGATTGTGAAGTTATCCAAGAGTAGAAGGGACCAGGGCAGAGGCCCAAAAAGAAAATACTTCCCCTCCCTTCCTCAGAAGTGTTTCCAAATCCTCATCTGAGAGAAACAGCTTGGCTTTGGCATATGAGAAAGAAATGACCCTGGAAGGGAGGGGCCACCTGTGCCTATTCCAGAAAGATTTTGACTCTTACGCAACGGTTTGTATGGAAAGAAAGGCTTTTCAAAGCAAAACCATGTAATTCGCCTTGTGGTGCTACAACAGCTATGTCCAAGAGCAATACAAGGGGCTGATCTGCTTGTGATAGGAGGGTATATTTGAGATACGTGAGGAATAAGCGAAAATATGAGTATTGCCACTCTGGAAGATCGTGCCGGTTCCTGCAGTCAGGGAATGCTCTTGGCTGTGAATTAGGGCAGAGAATGTATCTCCTGTTGCATTAACATAAAGGCATGTTTTTGGAAGCCAGAAGGTATAATTAGGCTTACTCAATCACGTTTCCACCAGAGGAGTCTGTTTCACCACTGACACAAGGGGATGAATGCTTGAAAAGCCTGGCCTTGTTTTGCCTGGCACGACATGCCTTCAGGAAACCCGCACCTATAGTTTAATGATCATCACGAGAAAGATTTTCATTTGCAATTATGGGACAGACAGTGCCACCCCCTCTGCTGTTTCTTCCCAGCTGATGAAAATGTGAAAACTGAAGCATTTAAGCCTTGATTGAATGAAGTGCCTGAACACAGGCTTGAATTTAGGTGATGTGATTTAAGCCATGCGCTTACACCAATTGAGCTTGCCTTTCAGAAGTGTTAGTGGTTTGTATACCATACAAAGCGTTTGTATTCAGAGGCTCCACCCTGATCCCATCCTCAGGTACACATACCAGCTTGCCTAAGTAGCTGAGAAGATGCA